CTTTTTCATTTTGTTTTGTTTTCAGTACATTCCCTTAAGTCTACAAACTTACTGCAAATGTACTTTAGCTTTAACACACACATTTTTATATATAATAAGTAGAAAATTCACTCTAAATATTTTGTAATTTCCATTACTGTTTCCTCTTTGATTCAAAGATTATTTAGGAGTTTTCAGTTTCTATTCACATATAAATATTTTAATATATTTGTAGTGGTAATTTCTAACAGTTTATTTCTTATCTGAAAACACGTGAATAATATAATTTCTTTACAGTTTATTGAAACTTACTTTGTGGACAATATTCTTGCTTGTGTGCTGAGCATTTCTTTTTCTATTTTCTGGGCATAGATATGTACATATCTAATAGCCAACCCTGTGGTCTAGTGGTTAAGGTTTAGCCTCTCACTGCCATGACCCAGATTTGTGTCCCCGTCGAGGAACCATGCCACTCATCTGTCAATTGTTATTCTGTGGCGGCTGCATGTTGCTGTGATGCTGAAAGCAGTGGCCACCGGTATTGCAAATACCAGCAGGGTCCCCCATGGTTGACAGGTTTCAGTGGAGCTTCCAGACTAAGACAGACTAGGAAGAAGGACCCAGCCACTCACTTCTGAAAAAATCATCCATGAAAACCCTATGAATAGCGATGGAGCATTGTCTGATAGAGCGCTGGAAGGTGAGAGGACGGTGCAGAAAGACTCGGCAGGGTTCTGCTCTGCTGTACACAGGGTCACTAGGAGTCGGAATCCATTCCACGCACTAACAACCAAACAAATATATATCCAATACGTATATAAAATACATGTATTTTATATTATATATATTAGATCAATATTGTTAGTACTGTTGTTCAAATCTCTCATATATTCACTTTTTTTGGGTCTACTCAATCCCTCAGTTTCTAATAAAAGTGTGTTGAATTCTTATACCATGATTGTGATTTTGCGAGTTTCTCCTTGTTATTCTTCTTAAGTGTCCCACTACCTTTGATAATTCTTCTCTATCAGTTAGGGCATGATCAGAGAAGCAGAACCGCTGTGAGGAATGTTGAAGGAGGGACTGGTCTAGGTCCGACCACATGCGATTGTGGACTCTGGGTAAACAGTCTTTGCTGCTTTTTGTCTAGGGCTCAGCCTGAGGGCAGCTGGGCAAGAGGCAGGGAGGAAAATGGACGTGAAGTGGGCAGAACAAGGATAAACTGGGACCCATGAGAACAAGCCAGAATCTGCCTCTGTGTCTCACTGCCTTCAAGCCTTGACCTTTGATGATGCAGGTGGCCTGCAGGAGAAGCTGGTGCTCCGTGCTGCAGAGCTGTGTCTACTGGCACTGAAGTCAGGGAAGCCTCAGGAGGAGACCCAGCAGGAGTCAGAGGAGCCTGGGCCCTGGGGCTGCCCCGGGCACTGTAAAGGCTGAGCTGCAGAGCACAAGAGTGCCTATTATTTAACTTCTGCCTTCCAAATTTCATGCAAATTTCTATTGAGGTCAACCCTAATCTGGAAACATACAGGGAAGGGAATTCTGGGAAGCCTAATTCCAGTTCAGCTAAGTTGACACAGTGCAAAGCCACCATGGGTTCCTTTTGTTAACTATTAACTATTATTTAGTTTCTTTATTTAAATAAAGAACATATTCCTTTAAATCCTTTTAGACTTTACTCTATCTGAAGTTAATATTTTTACACTGCTTTCTCTTCTATAGTATTTGCTTGATAGAAATTTCCCACATCTAGAAGTTTATATATGACTTTCGGTTTGTAGGAGCCATGAAAATGCATGGCTCAGGCCTCCTGATCAGGAGCATAACTGACTGGGTGCCCGACTGCTGCTTCTCTGAGTCCACCATCATGTTCATGATGAGGCCACACTTCCTATAGGTTGCTCCCTGTCAGAGACTGAGCATGTGGGGACAACTAATGCAGGCCAATCTCTGGGACACGTAGGCTCCTTAACCAGGTGACTTTGACTCAAGGACTCCCGATTAGAGTGTCAAAAATTTTCTTAGACCTGCTCTGCAGTCCAAGACTCTTCCCACTGGGTGCTCCCTTCCCGTCCTTCACAAGTGAAGACCGCATCACAGCGGAAGGCGCCTACCGCTTCCTGCACCTTCCCTTTTTGTCTTACAGGTGTTTTCTCCAGTAAGGGTCCTCCACATCTAATCCTGCCTTCGTGTCTGCTTCTTGGAAAACTAGAACTAATCCATCATGTATACGTGTGCTTTTAAAGTGTGCTTTTAATAAGCACATAATTTTTAATCCAGTCCAACAAATCTTTCTTTTAATGGATGAGATTTTAGTCTATTTACCTGTATTGTGATTTATAATATATTTAGTCTTACTATTGTATTGTTGTCTGTTTGCCAGGCTTTTTCTTTACCTTTAGCTTTTCCCTTTCGTGGTGTCAATTTGACTGCTAAAGCCTGTCAGGAAAAGTTTGGGACACTGGCATGACTTTTTGCTGGCTTCAGATCAAGGTTATTTCTCACTCATTCCACAGGATCATCTTGGGCTGGCTTATTTAGTCTCTCAGAAGCCCAAACTGACGCAGGCTCCATCTCCACACATGCTTCCCTAAGAGAGGCAGAGAAAAGAGGACACGCCAAATCTCACTGGGCTCTTAAAGCTGCCACTGACGAGTGGCACGGACCACTTCCACTCCCATTTGATTGACCAAGAGGTTACTTGCTCACATCTGAATTTAAATGAGCAGGGAAATGCAATGTGATCGTGTGTCTAGGTAGAATAGGATGTTTGTGTATGGTCCTCTTGACTCTAGACCTTCCATTCTTTCTACTGGGTTGGAAGCTATAAAATGTGTTCTTCTTATTATAATGGTTATCCTTAAATATATTTTAAATATACCTACTTAATCATACTTATTTTCCTAATAAAGTCTAAAATGCATGTAATACTTTTATCTTTTGCCCAAATTCAATGAAAATCTTAATGGTCTTAATGTCATTTTTTTGGCTTTGTTTTAAAAAAACAATTCATCAATTCTTTTTTTGACCATTGTTTGATATCAATGATCATATAGTTTATTTCAAGACTCCTCATTATTTTTTTCTTTTTCGTATCTACCAGTTCCTATTACATTTCTGCCTGGGTTTCTTTTTTTCCTCATAATTTCATGTTTCTTTAAATCAAGAGTCTGCAACTATGGTTCATGGTCCATATTTGGCTCACTGCCATTTCTATAAATAAAGTCTTATTGGAACACAGCCACATCCATTCATTTATGCATTGTGTATGGCTGCATCCCTGCTATAACAACAGAGTTGAGGATACAAAAGAGACAGTATGGCCGGCAAAGCCAAAAAATATTTACTGCCTGGCATGTTAAAAAAAAAAAGTTTGCAGACCCCTGTCTTAAATGAATATAGGATTTTATTTTTTTCTTTTGATCATCTTAAACATACTTTTAAAAAGCCTTTTTTTTTTTTTAAGATTGGCACCTGAGCTAACACTTGTTGCCAATCTTCTTTTTTTTCCTTCTCCCCAAAGCCCCCCCAGCACATAGTTGTATATTGTAGTTATGGGTGCTTTTGGTTGTACTGTGTGGGACACCGCCTCAGCATGGCCTGATGAGTAGTGCCATGTCCACGCCCAGGATCCAAACCAGTGAAACCCTGGCCTGCTGAAGTGGGGCACATGAACTTAACTACTCGGCCACAGGGCTGGCTCCTAAAAAGTCTTTGTCAGACTGCTTTACAACATTAGTTTCATCTGGAAGGCTGTGTTTCTTCATATATTTTAGAACTTGGGATTACAGCCTCGTTTCGAGTGGAAATGTTGTTGTTTGTTAAGTACCGTTCTTACTTTTTTCTCTCCCTCAGTGTCTCTCCTCCCTTCCAGCTGCTTTGTGGTGGCCACCTTCGGGCCCCAGCATTGCAGTACAGAAGGTAGTCTTACTATGGCAGTTTAGGTTGGTGGTGCTTTCCCTCTTGATTGACTATAGGACTCTTGAAGATCCAGTCATACAAACAGAGGAGCAGTGTCTAGTCACAAGGCTCTTCCCTCCCCCAGACTCTCCAGACTCCCTGCTTGCTGTAACCCTTCACTCCAGGCAAAGGTTTGGATTCGGTTCTGAGTCTCTTTGTACCAGAGAAGGTGGCACACTCGCCGCGGCTGGGCTCCCTCTGATGCCTGGGCCAAGTCCCTGATACCATCCCAGAGCAATCCTGCTCGACTCCTTAGCGTTGCCACCTTCTAAACTAGGAAACCGCCAGGCCTGTGGCTTACTCCTGCTCATCTCTGTACTTCTGCTGTTTCTGAATCACAGAACTGTTTGCCATATTTTTAAACCTAGGTGTTATTTTTTGGCTTTCTTTAAAAAAATTCTAAACACATTAGTGGCATGTGTTTGGAGCAGAGGGGCATTTCAGAGCATGAACTTATGGCATTGATGTCTTAACCAAAAACCTCCATTATATATTTTATGGAATGATGTAATAGTATCTATTTACTGTTTATTAAAACCATAAGCATTGAGTCAAAATGCGGTTATCTGAGTGACGGTGACGAAGTCATTGTAAGAAAAGGTAGATTCAAGTTCCTTTTATCATGGGACACATCACATTTTGAAAATCCTAAGTTTTAAAAGGAATTGTTAAAGTAAATCACATCTTTAATTCAGCAGAAGAGAACTGTTTTCATAGAACACAATATAAAATTGATTTCAACAGAAAATCTTAGTTTTGCATTTGAAAATGACAAAGGAAAAGTAAAATCAGTTACTTAGAGCCGTAAGTTTTTCATCAAGGCAAAGAGGCAAAGACAATTATTTGGACAGAGAGTAACTCATGAATTATGCTGCCGGTAACGTCCATTATTAGTTTTTCATTTCATCCAAAGTCTTTAATTTTAGAACTGTGGTGGTTAATGTCCAGCTGTTAGTTTATTGCTTATGGCTAAGGAAGCAAAAAGAGTGATAATCGTTTATTTTTGAAGACTGGATTTGATTGCCTTATATGATCTTTCTTATTCTCGTCTCGATTTCCAGACGAAGGCTGAGTCATACGTGGAAGAAACACAAGGTGGAAGGAGGCTGAGTCCCTGAGTCACCGACCCACTAGAAACATCCACATGGGACTGTTAGGTGAGTGAGAAAGAAGCTTGTGTTACAGCACTGGGATTTGGTGCTTATCTGTCACTGTAGCTAGTGTTACCTAAGCGAATGCGATGCTGGAGGGTAAGCTACCGTCTCACACCCATTCTCCCAGCAAATTTTTTCAAAAGTGTTTTTAGCTTAAAGACGTGATTCTCTATAGCTCTAACTGATGTATGTCAGAGGAAAGCAAGAAAAGTTTGCCTTATATTCATGGGAGTCATTTCCACATTACCAATTCATGAGTGTTTACAATTGAAAACAAGCTATATTTAGATAATGGAATTCTATTTTTATTTTCCATTAAAGCAAAATAAAGACATTTTATTTATTAAGTGGTATCTTGATGATCTGTTTCTATTGAATGGCTGCTAGCTTAATTATTTAGTTAAACTTAGTCTCAAAAACTGAAATGGGATTTGAACAAAGTCTATAAGATTTGAAGGCTATCATTGGGATAGATATGCTGTGTGGCATGCTGAATCCTACAATACCAAGAACAGGGCTAGCATAGTGAAGCTGGAGAAAAACTGTTTTAGAACCAATAAAATAAAGGGGGTCCCAATTCTTATGTAAACAATTTGCACTGCACTCTCTTGAGACTGCTTAACTATTTTTTCAGACAGATATTTATTGAGCCATTTCCATGTGTAAACTACCTTGCTGGACCCTGTAGGCAACGGGAAAGAAACATAAGTCACCTCTCACAGCCTCTGCCCTCCAGGTTCTTACATTTTGGAGGCAGGTTGTACTTAAATACATCCCATGAAGTAGTCTATGATAAATGCCAATGCTCTTATCGTACAACATTAAGTGGTGCAAGGGCTTAGTCCAGAGAAGGGATACAGAAGGTTCAGCTGGTAATCAGAGGAGGTTTAGCAGTGGAGGCAAGATTTGAGATGCATCTTGAAAAAAGGGAAGATTTGCTGTATTTGAAACAGGTTGAACATTCACATCCAAAGTCTACAAAACAAGGCAAGGTGCTTGATGACAAGGGTGTCTTCAGACCTTCCCACGATAGTCATAGTGAGCTTGAGGCATTCTTATTAAATTTTAGAGTGACGTAATTCTGGGATTGCATGACAAATCCACTATCCACAAAAAATAGAGATTTGGGGTTCCTAGTACACATTGAGCCTGAAATTGATATCTTTCACACATTATACTGAAGATAATAAGAAGTCTAGATTTGGTATTGGAAAACTTAAGGTCAGCTTCTGACTCCACAGGATAAGCTGAGATAGTCAATGTCTCTGAACTTCAATTTCTTATGTCTTGGGATAAGTATTTGTACCCTTTCTACATGAATGGTAGTTGTGAAAATCAAATGAGAAATGTATGAGAAAGTGCTTTGTAAACTATCAAATGCTTTGAAAATGTAAAGGGGCAAAGGATGCATGGTGGATAAAGATGGACATAGATATTTTTGACACTTCTCTCATTAGAAGGTGGAGTCTTTGTCATGTCCCTTGACTTTGGGTGGGTTTGGTGACTTTTTTGAGCAACAGAACACAGAATATTGGTTTGCTGAAGTGTCTCATCAACTAGACTGTATGCTCCTAAGAAGGGACTTTGTTGAATCTGATCTCAGGGGCAGCATCTAGCACATAACCTGAACCATGCAGGCACTCACAGATGTTCATTGATATGTAGGTACAAATCCACCACTTCAAAAACCAAAGTGGCTAATTTTCAGCAAGACCTGACCTGATCTGAACTCATTTGGCAATGAAACCTGACCTGAAGTGGCACAAAAGTACTCATAGTCATTAATTAACCACACAGAATTAACATTTATAATTTTGGCTTAAGAAACATTAACCATTTTATTGTAGGGCGCTGCTCTGGGCCTCTGGGTGATACTGGGTGATACACGGTATGTGCATTATATTACTTCTCTAAAATCCTCCAAATTCTGATTCTTAAAACACACCCTGGCTCCAAGAGGTTAGGATAAGAGATTGTGGACCTGTCTCAGCAAATGAACATTTTCTCGGCTGGGACCAACCCGTTTTCCTCTGTGCTCATGTCGTATTTGCTTTCATCATTTACAAGATAAATGCCTTCTTGGATTCTTCATAGCCATCTTTAATTAATTTCAAACTTTCAAGAATTTAGCACCCGACTACATGAAAAGAGCATGCTTGCAATTTCAGTATCCATAGCTTGATAATAATGTGACTTTACTAACATGTAGATATAGACGTTGATGGCTCTTGTTTATAAGGTTTGCCACACTAGCATTAAAGGAACACATGCAAATATTAAGATACTTTTAATCTTTAGAGCAATTTCACTGGATGAAAGTGGCTAATATGGAGGTTTAACAGAAAAATTAACTGTGAAGAAATATCTGTTTCCAGTGCCTCTATTTACGTAAGACAGAACAATCATCCTGGATTAGGAAATCATCTCCAACATAGCATTACACTGTGGGTAGATCACACACATACACACACACACGTGCACAGACAAGATCCGTGTGTTCTTTTGGATAGTACAAAGGAGGCCAGGCATCTCAGCTGTAATAATGTGACTCCATCTCTACGTGGCCCTGGTACACGTGGATTCTGGTCATACTCAGATCCATAGAGCTATTATCTCTCTCCATGTAAAATCTTATTTAATCATAGCTAGAATGGCAATAAAATATACACAAGTGTTTTAATGAAGTCCATGCCATTCATTGCTTTCTGTTATGAGGTGCTTTATATTCTGATTATGTTGCTGCTATAAAATGAACAAAGAGTAACATGGAATTTGATAAAGACAAGAAAACTTTTATTAAACTTTTACAACAGTGAAATAAATTATTCATGCAATTTCGTGAATAATGGCATCCATGCTGATTAAATCAGCTAAAAGGAGGCAAAATATTCACGTGCATGGCGTGAGTTCCATTTTCAAACAGTTCTGAAATGAAAATGTAATATAAAACAACACAGTGGTTGGTCCCCCAAAATGGAAAGAATAAAATATAGAGTACAGTATTAATTCAAACAAGGAGGGAAAAGTTTAAAGCACTTGCACTTTTGAAATCCACTGACCAGAGGGAATTTTCAAAGACAGAAAAAATAATCCACCACTTCAAAGGAATTTAATGAAAGAGAGAAATAGCACAGATGACCAGGGTGCAGGTGAGACAGACCCAGGGCTTAGAGAAGGGAGAGACAGAGCGTCTATGCAGTGAACCATTGCTTAGCTTGCTCCATTTGGGGCTGGCCTAAAACAGGATCCTCTCCAAACTGGACTGTTGGGCACTTGCCAGCTTTTCAGGAGGCTCTGAGAAAGGAGCTGCTGCTGGTGATAAATAAGGTGCCTTCCACATCTCCTCTGCCACCTGCTTTAAGGCTTGTGACCATCACTTGTCCTTTCATCAAAATGCTCACAGAAAGGCAGAGTTCCTATTTCTTTCCTTTCCACATCACTGAGCACAGGAAATGGAGGAGAAAACCCCCGGCCCACCCACAGAATTCCGGAGAGCTGAGTGCATGAGGCGGAACACACTGAAAAAACAGGAGGATGGGGAAAATAGCTTGTGCCTGAACCTAGCAAAGACGTGGAGGAGAAGGCCAAACGGGGGAGGAGCCCGACCAAATGGCAGACCTCCTCCCCCAGATGTGCGAATCCACCTTCGGGAAAATTCTTCAGCCCAGGCAGCGTGCTTTTCATTATGAGGCAGCGTCTGTGATTGGACAAGGACATCTGGCCTTCTATGCCGGAGAGGGAGAGCGGACCGCCGGTGCCTGTGGGACCCTCGCCGACAGCGGCTCCCCGCCCTCCTGATCCGTCAGTCCCGCCTGGTCCGCGCAGGTGCCACCCACCTGTTGTCTCCAACCATCGCCTGTCCCTCCTCTGAGCTTGGAGACAGAATTCTCTCTGTTCTCCCTCCGTGGCCCGTGGCCCCTCCTTCCCCGTGTGCCTGCTCTCGGAGTGGACCTGCGGCCTCCTGGGCCTCTGAGGGTCCGAGGCGTTTTGGTGTAGGCGGCCTTTCTTTAGGTCCCAGGAGGAGAGGCAAAGTCGGCGCCCTGCGCTCCTCAGCAGAGACGTTGTTGTCACGGACCCTCTTTCAGTCTTACTTCCAACTTTTTTGAGAAAAGCCATCTGTTTGTCACCCATTGCCCCTAGTTTCTCCAGATTTTCAAGGCTCTCCCTTTCTTTTGATGGTCAAACAGCGGCCAGAGGAGTTCCCAGCCTGCCTGACTGCAGGGGCCCAGGGCTGTCCTCGACATTAATGACCATCCCTAGTGAGGGCTCCATGCTGCAGAAAGATGCTCTGGCCTCTGCCTGTCCCTTTAACTAGGGACCACTGCTCCAAAGCCGTGCCCACCGCTTTCTCGTCATCCGTTTCCAGGCCACTGCTACCACAACCTCTACTCCCCGACCTCGAAGGTATGGTATTCAACAGAACTTGTTAAGACTTGTAGGGCAGGCCAGCCTTGTGGTGCAGCGGTTAAGTGCACACGTTCCACTTGGGTGGCCCGCGGTTGGCGGGCCGGATCCCCGGTGCGGACATGGCACTGCTTGGCAAGCCATGTTGTGGTAGGCGTCCCACATATAAAGTAGAGGAAGATGGGCACGATGTTAGCTCAGGGCCAGTCTTCCTCAGCAAAAAGAGGAGGATTGGCAGCAGATGTTAGCTCAGGGCTAATCTTCCTCAAAAAAAAAAAAAAAAGAGACTTGTAAGGCATAAGATGGGATTTGTAATACAGAGGGGAGACCCTTTTAAACCATCACTGTCTTTCAAAGGACCCCATTGGTCTCCCTCTCTTCTTGCTCCTGACAGCTGCCACGTGTGGTACCCTGGTCTGTATTTTCTTTCTTGGGCCCTCTTGTCCTAGAACATAAAGCCCCAACCTCTTATCTCTAGGCCTATAAGAGGAAGCAAAAAACATTATTGAATATCGTCGTAATCCCAGCACTGTCATGCTACCCTCCAAGAAGGCAACCAATTCTTTTCTGAAAGATAGACTATTGTGTGCATAAATCTT